TGCAAGTTTTTAATCTTGATCTACTTGCCTGTTGACTTATAACAAAATTTTTGCAGAATTCTTTTTTAGATTTACACATATTTAAATAATGCAAGTTACATTTTCTAATTATTATCTAGAAATTTTAAAATATAATTTAGGTATGGTGTAATATATTTATAGCATTCATATTATCATTAAAAAATTAAAAAAAATAAAAATAAAATAATAAAATTGTTATTTTCAATTGATAAATGAGAGAAGAAAATGATACTTTAGGCTTTCAGTTTTATAATTTATTATTAACTGGATTTGCCTTTTAAAAATCCTGACAGTAACATGTAATTACAGATTTTTCACAAGCTTAATTTGATAAATAATAAATGATAAACATAAAAGTTATTTTCTTTTGGTAGTTCTCAAGAGATTTCTATACATTTTGGGTTTATAAATTTAACTTATCTTACTTTTTTCATTCATTTTGTTTTTATTTTCAATTAGTAATCATATCATACTATACTGTATTATATTGTTCATTTATAATTTATCTATCAATACCATTGTTAGTTCTGTAGTTATTCTTACATATATGATCTTAATTCACCCTTTAGAAGAACTAAGTGATCTACAGTTGTGCAATAATGATGCCTAAACGAATGACGAATCATTCATTATTGACGAATAACGAAACCATTTTGTCAGGTGACTTCTAATTAACGAATTGATGATTGACGAAACCCATAACGATTGACAAAACCTATGATGAAATGACGAAACATATGACGAAATGATGTAACCTATAACGAAATAATGAAACCTATGATGAAACTAACCTTATAATACAATATAGAGTTAATTGCCATATTTTGAATTTATATGTGCACTATTTTAAATTAATATTTAATATGATAGCGATAAGAACTAAAAAGTATCCTGATAATGCACGATTACAGAATTAGTAATAGCAATATAGAAATATTAATAGGTTGCATTTTAATATATACTTATTAAGATATGGGCTGCCGTCAATAGAAATCAAGCAGATCTGCATTTGAAAAAAATTAATGTCTTTAATTTCACAGCTCATATCTCGACGAATTTTAAAGCTATTTTAATGTTTTAATATTCAAAAGAAAGCTTAGATCTTAAGATTTCTTTTGAATATTAAAGCATCAAGATAGCTTTAAAATTCATCGAGATATGAGCTGTGAAAGTTAAGGCATTGATTTTTTTTCAAATGTAGATCTGCTTGATTTCTATTGACGGTGGCCCATATTATTACCAAAAATAATATTTGTAGGTAATACTGGTATTGGTACTGGTACTGGTTATACAAATAAATATGTAATATGGCGTAATAAATTTAAAGTTTAAATAGACTACTATTTTTGAGTAAAATCAATTGATTTTTTTTTGAATATAAAAAGTGGTGCCTATCTTGTGCTTGGTTATTTCAATATTTGTATCAAACTTTAACATAATATAAAAAACAAATTTTCAATAAAATCATTACTTATATGCAATACATATAGTGTTAGTCAAAGCCAATACCAATTCACCCTTGTGTTTTAGCTATTAAGGCACCAATATTAAATTTATTATGTTCCAATTTTTTTTTGTAATATCAAAAGAAATAAAAAATTGCAAAATAATTTTTTTAATTATAGTAAATTTAATATCTCGATTTTTCTAGAAGATAGATTTATGTTATACCATTACACAATTATATAGTTCCTGGATAGTTCTCATTCAAGATTAGTAAACAAAAAAAAAAACAAAAAAAATATATAAATACATTTTATACGCATCCTTATTTTTTTTCATTTTACATCAAATAATTAAAAACAAAGTAGACAATATGTTACAAAGCAATAAATGAAAATTTAAAGTATCTAAAACTTCATCACAATTTACGCTTAAGAAAGAGAGTTTATCAAGTTCTTTAACATCTTCAGATTTGAATACACTGAATAAAGCATACTCTGGGGGATGAAACCAATCACCTGTTTGGAAATTTTTTCATCAAGAACGAACCTCTTTACCTGGACATTTTTCAGCAAATGTTCTTATTGTCCAGCTAAGTGGTCAAGAGGTGAACTACAAAAACTTGAAGCCCATCTTGCATTAGAGTGTCCTAATGTAGATAATGAGATTTGGCAAATATATTTACTTCGTGTGGCTTATTGTGATAATATTGAAGAACAGTATATATTTACTTCGTGTGGCTTATCATGATAATCTTGAAGAACAGTCAGAAAACATAACTGGTTTAAAAAAACAGAAGTTAAACAATCAGCCTAATCTTACAAAATATTTCCTACAAAAAGCAGAAAATTTATCTGAAGAGCGAATAAGCTCTATAAATGGCTCATTACTAAAAGCATTTGTGGTCTGTGGTATTCTTTTTTCAGTAATTGAAACCCATTTTTTATCGATCTACTTCAAAATTTGTGTCAAATTATCAACCACCATCAAGAGAAATTTTAGTGGGGCGATTATTAGATCAAGAGTATTTTAGAGTTACAATTAAACGGAAAATTATTTTGAAGAATCTGAGAATTTAACTATTGGTATATATTGTATATATTTATTATTTTATATTAAATTTATTTATTTATTTAAAATATTATACTTATAGCTTTAGATGGGTGGACATCGTCTAATAGAAGTTCTATTTACAGTTTTATGATTTTGACACCTATGCATATTAAGTTCTTATATTCATTGAAAGATTTTTCAGCAAATTCACATACTGCAGGATTTCTTGCAGATGAAATCAATATAATTTTAAATGAAATTGGGTCCAACAAATTTGCAGCAATTGTGACAGATAATGCTAGTAATGTTAAGCTTGCATGGCAAATTATTCACAAAAAGCATCCAAATATTTTAAGTTTGAATTGTATTGCACACTGTATTAACCTTATATCAAAGGATATTCTTAGTAAGTGTTATAAAAATATATATATTTAATTATATATTTTTTATTAACTTATTGTATATATATTTTTTAGAGCATATATTTGCTTCGCATCTTATAAAAGAATGTAATCAAATTATTAAGTTTTTTAAAAAATCACATATGCCAAACTCAGATCTTCATTATGCAATATCCAAATTAAATATTGTTGGTGGTGGATTGAAAAAATTTATAGACACTAGATGGACTTCTGCATATGAATATATCTTATCCGTTAGTAGACTTGAACGTGCATTTATTAAAGTAAATATTTTATTTATATGTATTAAATATATAATATATAATAATTAAATAACTAAATAATATATAATAATATTATAGATTATGAATGATAACCCAGATATAATTTCAATTCAAATAATAAAGCAAATTTTAAGGCGACCATATTTTTTTTTAGATCTCAAAATTTTGGTTAAGATTTTATCTCCTATTCAAATAGCTATTACAAATTTAGAATCACAATCAACAACGTTAGCAGACTGCTTTTTACAATTTATTCAATTAGCAGCTGCTATTAAAAAAGTTTCAAATATAAGGGCTAAAGGATTTAAAAATTACTGTATAAGAATTTTTAATAGACGATAGAGAGATTTTAATACTGATAACTGATAATTATTCGCTAGCTTATTTTCTTCATCCGGGCTATCATAGTATATATATATTTTAAAATTTAATAATTAAATATATATTATTAAATATTAATAATTTTTTATTGGGTGCTGGATTACATGAACAACAATTTGAGTTAATTGTAATGACCGTGATTGAAATATGGAAACAAGAAGGACATGATCGATATGAATGTGCAACTCTTGTAGCTCATATGTGATTATTTTATGAAAAAAAAGGAATTTCATTTGCCTTACTGTTTTAAAACTGATACACTGTTGTTGTGGTGGTTAACAAATTATACTGGTTCCAAAACTATTGGAAAGTTGGTGATTAAGCTTTTTTCAATCACACCACATTCTGCTGGTTGTGAGAGGACCTTTTCAATATTAGGTTGGCTATATGAAAAATAAAGACAAAGGCTTTCTTTATCTAGAATTCAAGCTATGGCACAAGTTCGCTCTTTTTGTATTTCAAATATTGAAAAAGAACTATGTTTTTTTGATAAAAAGTTACTATATAACGATTTGCAAGAACAAGTAATCTCAGCAACATTTTTAGCTGAAGATAATGAAAACTTTACTGAAGACTCTGAAGATACTGAAAATACTGAAAATACTGAAGATGCTGAAAGCTCCGAAATAGAATCAACCGATTATGATCCAAATGTTATTGAACAGTTTGATGTCGAAAATATAGTATTTTTAAGAGATAAAATGTTTCAAGATGGTAAATCCGATACTGATAGTGATGATACTGATAGTGAAGAATCGCAAGATGATAGTACCAATGAATTTGATTATAATAAGTTAGTTAATAATAATAAAACAGAACAAGGCATATTTGAGTTTAATTCTACAGATTTAGCTGCAGATTTGATAGCAGAATGGAGCTATGAAAATAATAATAGTGAAGATCTGTGTGTTGATAATAATTCAAATACTGTAGATAAAGATAGTATTAGTGAAAATGTAAGTTCTTTAGAGAATGACAATGAGAATTTGGAGTCTTTACCTATAGCACTTCGAAAAACTTGCCATAAGAACTTAAAAGATAATATGTAAGCTAAATATTATCTTAAGAGTACTTTTTTGCCAATAATTGTATTTCAACCAATTATAAATAAATACAAAATATATTAGCAAATTATATAAATGTAATCTTACGTAAGATATTACGGCCCATAATATCGCGCAAGAATTATGGTCTGGACATAATATTGCGCAATTTATTACGTAATATTACGCAATTTATTACGGAGTATTACGCAATTTATTACGG